TTCAAATGAGATGATGTGAACACTGAGAGAGATGGAAAGGATAATTCTTCAGTTCATTAAATACATTATTCTAATTTCATAATTAAGCATTTCTACTATTTGAGAGTATTTGACAAACAGTGGTCATTTAGAATTAAAGATTAAGAGCCTAGCAGCTCTGTTAAGCTAACGTCAACCTGCCAACATGCTCACAATGACAATACTAACGTGTTGATATTTAGCAGGAATAATATTTTCCATCTTAGTGCTAACATTTGCAAGTACAGCAAAAAAGCATGGGAATGCCATACGTTTTGCAGAAGTACAGGACAGATTTAAATTTCAACCCGATGATAGCACAAGAGGAAACATCAGTGGATCACTCAATTCATTACACGTTATCCTAAAGGGGACCTCAATGTCTCTACCGACTTTTATGGCAATCCACCCGACAGTTGTTGAGATATTTCACTCACTCAAAATTACAAATGTCAACCTTAACTGTGGCACTAGAGGAGAGGTCGGTGGATCACAAAAGTCAGAGGGATTCATCCACTGCAGACCATGAATATCCATTCTCAGAGGCACGCTGTTAGCATAGCTGAAAAATACTACTTTTTGAGTTTGGTGTACTTCTTTATCTATTATCAGTTACATTCAACCTAGAAGTCCAGGCTTGTTAAACACAGACATCAACCATAACTGAAAAGCATGGAGGCTTCTCCAACAGAAACTCTCTGTACCCGCTCTGTTTAAACAGTCTATGCGGCATCCTTCATTAATGAGATGCCAGTGAAGAGTGGTGTTCTGTAGATATCTGACAGCTGGGTCTGCGTGTTTGGTTCCTGAACAAACAGCTGCAGGACTGATCAACCGCCTCACTTCTGGTGGTCAGCATTTTTAGTATCTTTAAAGCTGTAATCCTCAACTTGACAGTGTCTGTCCTGCACGTTTCAGAGTGTGACCATGCAAGTCCATACTACAGCAGATAAAGTTGAAAATGCTGTTTACGAATGGGGAAAATCATGTCCACACTAGCATTTTCAAGTCTTTCTTGAAAAGTTGTCCGTCCACACCAAAAGTTGTAAAGCGACATCAAAGCTGGGCATGACATCGTCTGATGGTGTAGGACAGTCACAGGCCCGGTTACTGTTTCAGTGTAGCCAAACTCAAACTGTTGTAGTTCACATTGACATATTTCATTGTTGTCAGACAAGTAAAAGAGCATAAAGTAGGAATTTGATGAGAGAAACTTGGCCTCTACTTTGTTACTTATACTGTCTGTCTTGTCTGTTCAGGCAGGCGCGATCATTCATCCTTACTGCAATAACACATGAGACCATATTTTGCAAATTTTTCCATTCAGTCCAATCCAGTTTAGTTTTGAGAAAAGCTCTGTTATAGTGGCTTAGTTTGGAGAGGAAATACGAGTTTTAAAATCTAGATGGCACATGTTTTCAAGATTATAATCTGCAAACATTCATAAAACGGACAGTTACTTGACGCTTTGGCCATATTGTCCCTAACATTCATGCCAATAAAGCATATTACATTGAAACAATATACATTATATTTTGTGACGTACATTTTAAAAATTCCTTTCTGTTATTGTAGGTGATATTATTGTGTGTTCTCGGAAATTGAGCATTAAAAATGTTGATGTTGTGATATTGAACTGTTTTTTATTATGTTGATGTTGTTATGATCAATAGCTCGTAGTTGAAGGTAATTAGTCTGTGGAGCAATATACTGTTAAATGTAACTTGTAATGCTTTTACACATACTGTATACTTTAAACCACTACTGGTCGTTTTTTAAACAGGAAGGTGGTCCTCTGTAGCATTACCTCTCATTTTAATGCTCCTGTTCACTACTCTGATTCTGCTGAAACTTGGAACGTCCCTTCAGCAAACCCCAATACTGATCGATCTTTAACCTTATACATTTGAGGGAGCGTGTCCCAAAAAAGCAGACTTTAACTCCGTAGTGAACACACTTTCAGTGACCCAGCATCAGCCTTAAAACAGACATTCAACATTACTATTTCTACTCGAGAGAAAATATAGCAGTGTTAATGAATGGATGTGTGTTAATGTTTGGTGCGGGTGACATGATTGACAGGTGGCTGGCCACATCTCCCTCAATAGGGCCCCCCATTTCCACTGATTACTGTGTCACTGTGTCCGTATCACACATACACACACACACACACACACACACACACACACACA